TATTATTATAATAATAAAATAATAATAATATAATAATAAATATATAATATAATAAAATAAATATAATACAATATATATAATATATAATATATATATAAAAATAAAATATAATAAATATATAATATAATGTATATAATAATTATAATACTATAATCTATCTATATTAATATATATATATATAATATATAAAAAATAATATAACAATAATATTAATAATAATAAATAAAAATAAATAATATAATATAATAATATAAAATATATAATATAAATATAAAATAATAGTAGAATATATAATATAATGCTATATAATATACTATAATACTATATAACAATATCCAATATAATATGTAATGATATATCATCATATAATAAAATAATATAACATATAATATGGAATATAATATAATAAATAACATTAAAATAATATATAATAATATAAAATATTAAAATAATATAATATCTATTAAAATTATATAATATATAATGTATATTATGTATTACCTCTTCTGGATTATTTGGACCAATGGGGAATGGGGCTCCCCGATGTCCCCCCCAAGGTTTCCTGGGAAATGACCTGGAGGCGAGTTTTTTTTTTCTCACCTGACAAGGTGTCACCCCATTTGCTACTGCAAAGCCATCCGTCCCCACAGGGTTGAAAGCAACCAAAAGAGATAATGGGGATGAGAGGAGGAGGATGGGTGTCAAACTGAAAAAAAGGCAAAAATGGGGAGAAAATCTTCTAAATGGCCTCTTAAAGGTGTCGCTTTTGCCGCCTCCGGCTTCTGCCCTGAAAATGTGGGGAGAGAAGCCTGTAAAAGGGATTCCACACCGGGCCATTTGTTTCCAAGAGAGCCTTAAGAAATGCCTTCTGTTTACTCTTGAGTGAATGCGCCTTTATGCTCCTTAAATAATTAAAAAACGCTTCCAAAAGCTGCTCAGCCTTACATTTAAAGGAAAATGTGATAACTGGAATCATAAGAACCATAGACTGAATTTACCCTGCCAAATCATACAGCTTGAATTGCATTATATGGTCAGTATGGACCCATATAATGCAGTTCAAGGACTATTACACTGACCACACAATGCATCATTTGGCAGTGCAGATCCAGCCTTACAATCCATTACAATGTAGAATGAGGCCCCTTCTACATTGCCATACAAAAATCGAGATTTGGCAGTGCAGATCCAGCCTTACAATCCATTACAATGTAGAATGAGGCCCCTTCTACACTGCCATACAAAAAAAAATAATCGAGGTTATCTGCTTTGAATCGGATTATAGGGCAGTGTAGACTCATATAATCCAATTCAAAGCAGATAATGTGGATGAATCGATGTGAGAAACTGGATTGTATGGTAGTGTAGATGGGGCTTGGGACTTAACCTCCCTGAGTCCCTTTGGGGAGAGAGGACGTGTTATAAATAAATTATTATTATTATTATTATTATTATTATTATTATTATTAATTTTGAGGAAAGGCTGCTAAAGCTTCAAATGCCCCAAATGTCTTCCATAAATTCTTATTTCCCTGAACACAGAAGTCTACTTTTATGACAATTGTACAGCTTCTCATCAGATCTGACACAATGCTTCCATTGAAATGTTTCACAACCACACAATTTACTTTCAAGATGGCAAAAGGTAGCTTATTCAGCCGGGTCAGCACTGGTTAGTACTTGGATGAGAGACTACCAACGAATACCAGTATGTTTCAAAACTACTTCTGAGTATTCCTTGCCTTTGAAAAAACCCTCTGAAATCCATAGAGTCTCCATAACACACACACACATGGCTGGCCACACAAGAGAGGGGCCTTGGCATGTAAACATCCCTTCCTCTGCCTGTCCTAAAGATACAACAGAAGCAATAATAATAATGAAAGCCTTGGACAACAGAAGCAATCATACTCCATCACCAGTAATAGTAATTACTCATCTATCTGCAAAGTAGTTGAGCAGAAGCACTTAGTGTAAAGCTAGTCCTTGTTTCATGCAAGAAGAGGAATTCTAATAAAATCAATAGTATTTATTTCTATATTGAGTATTGGGAATCACTGGTCAACACACCATTTTGGTGCCTCAAGTGTCAGCCCTGTTTCTGGGTATATTTGACCCTCTGATTCCAAAAATGGCACAGGTTTTCTCCTATCAGCTGTAGTTTTTGAGATACAGAACTTATGCCATCTACCACTCTTCATCTGCTCCTCCATAGAATGTCCTCCAGGATAACTATATTTAAGAAACTATAGCTGATGGGGTTTATCCAATGCCATTTTCTGAATCAGTGCCCCAAAGAAGTCCAGGAACAGGCCTAAAAGAAAGATACCAAAAAATGTTTGTTGTTGAGTTGGGTTATCTGCTGATATTTTTTATTATTATTATTATTATTATTATTATTATTATTATTTGTACCCTGATTTTTCATTCCACAAGGAGCCTTGAAAGGTTTGTAGAGATATATAATAATCTCTACAATTATTATATAATAAATAATATAATAATATATAATAATATATAATAATATATATATATAATATAATAATAATATTATATTATATAATAATATATAATATATATAATAAATAATATAATAATATAACATTATATTATATTATATTATATTATATTATATTATATACTATTATTACATTGCATAATATAATATATAATTAATAATAATAATATTTTTACTATTTGGGAGCAAGTCATTCTACTAATCACATTTTAAAGTTCCATGATTGGGAATTGTTTGAAAAGAAGGGATTCATATATTCAGGCTTCCGATAGTCTCAGTTCAATTGAATGGTAATTTATTAATAAACAAGTCAATAACTTCAGGATATCTTCAACAACAACAACAAAATGAGAGAGGAGGCAAAAAACAAAACGATAAAATAAGATTAATACACATTTTCCCTTTTCTTATATAATGGAAAACAAACATAAAGGTTGCAGGTCATTTGGAAAGTCAAGCTTTTTCGGGTGGAAGAAGGTGGGAAGATGGGAAGGAAAGAACACTTTTCTGGCGTTTTGGTCCAAAGAATCCCGACGACAGCTTTAAAAATAAATTACTATATATCCATTTACACTTTAAAACAAGTCCTTGGCAGTAGAAAACGAGCCCAGGGAGGGAGACAAAAGGAAGGATGGCAGAAAGAAAGAAAGAAAGAAAGAAAGAAAGAAAGAAAGAAAGAAAGAAAGAAAGAAAGAAAGAAAGAAAGAAAGAAAGAAAGAAAGAGAGAGAGATAAAGGGGGGGGGGGGAGAGAGAGAGAGAAAGAAAGAAAGAGCTCTTCTACACAGCCATATAACCGAGAATATCAAGGAAGATAATCCACAATATCTGCTTTGAACTTGATTATCTGAGTCCACACTGACATATAAGACGGTGCAATATGGATTTTATACAGCTGTGTGGAAGTAGCAAAAAAATTGGAGGAAGCATCAGGGGGCGCCCAGACCCAGGCTCCATTTACACTACCATATAAAATCCAGATTATTGGTTTTGAACTGGATTATGTGACAGTGTAGACTCATATAATCCAGTTCAAAGCAGATCAATCTGGATTTTATATGGCCGTGTTGGTGAGACCTCAGGTCTATCATATCCCTTCTAAACTGCGATATAATCCAGATTATCAAATCAGATAACCCCCACTATCTACTTTGAACGAGATTATGTGAATCTACGCTGCCATTCAAAGCAGATAATCTGGATTTTATATGGCATCTTTGAACAGGCCCCACATCTCCCAGATAACTTCTACACTGCCATATAATCCAAATAATCAAAGCATTTAACCCACATTATCTACTTTGAACCGAATTATGCGAGTCTACATTGCCATATCCCATTCAAAGCAGATAATCCGGATTTTATACGGCAGTGTCGATGAGGCCACAGGTCTCCCAGGCCCCTTCTACATAGCCATATTATCAAGACTATAAAAAAATCAGATAATACGCATTATCTACTTTGAACTGACTTATGTGCGTCTACACTGCCATATAATCAAATTCAAAGACAATAATGTAGATTTCATATGGCGGCATAGAAAGGGCCCCAGGAGTCAATGAAAGATGAAAAAAGGGGGCCAAATGGGATGGAAAATATAAGAAAGGGCTCATCCACACAAACATAGAACCAGGACCCTTTCACACAGCCCTATATCCCAGAAAATCAAGGCAGAAAATCCCACAATGTCTGTTTTCAACTGAGTTATCTGAGTCCACACTCAGACATTGTGGGATTTTCTACCTTGATATTCTGGGATATAGGGCTGTGTGGAAGGGTCCTTAGTCCACACTCAGATAATGTGGGATTATTCTGGGATATAGGGCTGTGTGAAAGAGCCCCTTGAATATCAATCCCACAATATCTGCTTTGAACTGGGTTATCCGAGCTATCCACACTGCCATATATTCCAGTCCAAAGCGGAAAATGTGGGGTTTTATTCTGTTGTGTGAAAAGGGCCAAAGAAAGAAGAAGGAGAAGAAGAAGAGGAGGAGGAGGAGGAGGAGGAGGAGGAGGAGGAGGAGGAGGAGGAGGAGGAGAAGAAGAAGAAGAAGAAGAAGAAGAAGAAGAAGAAGAAGAAGAAGAGGAGGAGGAGGAGGAGAAGAAGAGGAGGAGGAGGAGGAGAAGAAGAGAAGGAGGAGGAGGAAGAAGAGGAGAAGGAGGACGACAACGAAGATGAGGAGGAGGAGGAAGAGAAGAAGAAGAGGAGGAAGAAGAAGAGGAGGAGGAAGAGGAAAAGACAAGGTGGGGAAAATAAACCAATAGAAGAAAAAAAATATAAACAACCCCACAAACTTACGTGTTATTTGGAGTAACACTGTCCTTTAACAAAGCATGGCTTAATTCAAAAGTATAGATTATATATCTATGTATCTATATATAGAGGTGTATATATACTAGGCTGTCTTTGGATGGGAGAGTTTGTGGCGTTTGGGGATGGACTGGGTCTTGTCACAACCTCAGCAGAGCCGCCGCCCCCCCCCCCCAAACCCCCGCCCGCCCGCCCTTGTTTCTCCTCGGGTCAGAACTTGCTGCAGTCGTAGACGAAGGCGCCGGAGGGGCGATACAAGGGCTGGCTGCCGGGGAAAGCCATTTGGCAGCTGCCTCCTCCTCCTCCGTTGTTGGCGCTGGCGTTGTTGTTGACGGGGGAGTGGTTGAGCCCCAGCCGCTGCGAGGCCTCGAACATTTCCCGCACGGCGTGGAAGTTCTGCGCGTGGGGCGGCGGCGGCGGCGGGTATCCCGTGGGCGAGGAGGAGGACGGCGAGGCCGAGGAGACGGGCGCCAAGTGGGTCAACTCGCCTCCCGACGCGCCTGGGTTGAGGTACCACGACGCCAAGCGCCCTCCTCCTCCTCCTCCTCCACCACCGTTGCCACTTTCCTGCGGACTGAGGCTGAGAGAAGAGGCGCTACTACTGCTACTCGCGGCTAAACTATACTCCGGGAGCGGGTCCTGCTCCGCGGGGCTGCTCCCATTGGCAGAAGAGGAGGCTGCGGCGGCGGCAGCGGCGGCAGCGTAGAGGCTCATGGCTTGCAAATTGCAATGGTAGCTGCTGCTACTATTGGGGCTGACTGTAGTCCCGGCGCCCTGGCTGCAGGGGGCGCTGTAGAGAGAGTTCTGCGCCGCAGCCGGGGAGTAGCAGCTACTCAAGGCCAGCGAAGGCGGAGGAGGCAAAACCCCAGTCCTGGAAACCGCATTAGAAGAGGAAGAAGAGGAGGAAGAAGAGGCGGAAGAAACGGGGGCAGCGAGGAGCTCTTGCTGCGGGGAGGCGCGCAAGGAAGTCATGATGATGTTGTCCACGCTGAAGCCTCCTTGGTGATGGAGGTGGTGTTGATGCTGGTGAGGATGGTGGTGGTGGTGGTGGTGCGGGGGCTCCAAAGCCATTCCTCTGCTCCCTCCTCCTCCTCCTCCTCCTCCTCGAGGGCTGCTTCTTTCCCCACCTCCATTAGAGAGGCTACTACTCGTACTAGAGCTTTCCGGGCTCTCAATCTTAGGCACGGGCTGGCCCCCGAGTGGGGATAACGCTTGTGGAGGCGAGGATGTAGCAGCAGAGCCCCCATTCTCGGTCTTGATGTCCTGCAGCCGCACAGGAGGAGGTGGTGGGGGTGGAGGAGGCTGCGAAGACGCCTCCTGCGCCCGGGAAGACTGCTCCTTGTGCTTGTCTTTCTCCTCCTTGTCCTTGACAGCGTCCTTCTTCTTGAAGCGCCTCCTCCGCCGGAGGAAAGAGCCGTTCTCGAACATGTTGTAGGAATCCGGGTCGAGGGTCCAGTAGCTGCCTTTGCCGGGCTTCTTGTCGTCGCGGGGCACCTTCACGAAGCACTCGTTGAGCGACAGGTTGTGCCGGATGGAGTTCTGCCAGCCCTGCTTGTTGTCCCGGTAGAAAGGGAAGCGCTCCATGATGAACTGGTAGATGCCGTTGAGGGTGATCTTCTTGTCCGGCGCGTTCTGGATGGCCATGGTGATGAGCGCGATGTAGGAGTAAGGCGGCTTGACTAAGTCCTTGGGCTGCGGTTGAGGCGGGTACGGAGGGCCGTACGGGCGGCCCAAACTGGCTCCCCCGCCTCCTCCTCCTCCACCGCTGGAGTATTGCTCCGCAGGGTGCGGGGAGTACATACTCATCGGGGCCGGCATGGCTGCGTAACTCGCCGCTGCTGCAGCCGCCGCTCGGTAGTAGCTCTGCTCGCCCCCGAGGTAAGGCACGACACCCAGCGAGTTGGGGCTGGAGACCGAGTAGCGCGCCTGCATGGCCTCCCTTCCCGGCGGCGCCTCGGAGGTCTGGCCAAGGCCGTCTCCTCTTCCTCCTCCTCCTCCTCCTCCGCCTCCTCCTCCTCCACTTCCCCCCCTCCACCCCTCCGCAGCGCCAGAGCCAAACAGAGAGGAAGCAGCAACAGAGGCCACCAGGATCTTCTTCCTTCTCCTCCTCCTCCTCCTCCTTTCAAGACCCGAAGGTGGCCTCCCTTTCGGGGGAAGGAAGGAGGGAGGGGGGAATTATGCGAGGCGTCCTCCCCCCTTCCTCTCCAAGCCAGGAAAAGTCACTTCCATCCAGCAGGACTCTTTGGAGAGCTCTCTCTCTCTCACTCACTCTTTGTCTCCTTCCTTCCTTCCTTCAGGGCCCGGTGTCTCGCCCAACTTGATCACAACTCTGAAGCTGAAGAAGGGAAACAGGCTGCGGAGGGAGCGAGGGAGTCTTACAAAGTCACACCATCCGCCATCCCAAGTCCTTGCTTTCTTTCTCCTTCAATGTCAGCCCGGAAAACTCACAGCAACCCAATGTCATCCCTCTCTTTTTTCGTTTCTTCTGCTCCGGGAGAGTTGCTTTGGAAAAAACAGCTCCTGAACTTTTGAGCCTCCGTCACCGGGGCGAGGAGTTTTTTACGCCCGCGCAGGATCCTCGCCTCCTACTTTTTTTCTCTCCTCTTTTTCTTTTTTTCTTTTCTTTTTCTTTCTTTCTTTCCGCCCTCCTCTCCTTTTGGTTCTTTTTCTTTCCAGGCGTGGAAGCCACGCCCCGGCTGGGCTCAGGCAGCCAATGGGAACGAAGAAGGAGGAGAAAAGGGCAGGGCGAAAGGAAGGGGGAGTCTCGCAAGGCGGGGAAGGTGCGGCCGCCGGCCACGCGCCTCCACGGACACGCGCGAAGGCGTCGCTCGTGAAGATGGGTCTTTTCTCACTCTTTCCTCACTCAGCCCTCCTTCCTTACTTCTTATTTTCCCGCTGCAAAGCTCCACGCGCGTTCCCGATCTTGTTTCAGGCGTGTAGGCCCTTCGCACGTGTGTTTCCCCTGACAGGGCTTCTCCCACGGATAAATCGTTTTGCCAACGGAGCACCAGAAAGGAAGGTCTGCTTTTCCCTGCTTTCCCATTCCACCTCGAAGAAATATTTTTCATAGACAGACCAAGGCGTCACAAAACAGTGGACAAGAAGAGGAAATCTGCAGAACTCTTGAGAAAGGAGAGATGCTCTTCTGTCAACAACTATTTTTCACTCGAGGCGTTAAACGGGGGAAATCTAGTTTAGTGATCTATCATTTCTGTCTATCTAAGAAGCTGACTTTTTTGTCAATGTCCCTCTCTATCCAAGAGGCTGACATTACCTATCTGTCTATTTATCTGTCCATTTATCTATCTATCGCCTGTCTATCTACCTACCTACCTACCTACCTACCTATCCTCTCTCTCTCTCCCTCTCCAAGAAGCTGATGTTTTCTGTGAATCTATCCCCTGTCTATCTACCTATCTATCACCTGTCTATCTATCGCCTGTCTGTCTGTTTATCTATCTATCTATCGCCTGACTATCTGCCTATCTATCTATCTGTGGTCTATCTGTCTATCATCTGTCTAGCTATTTATTGCCTAAGTATCTGTCAGCCAGTATCTATCTGTGGTCTATATATCTCATCTATCTATCTATCCATCTGTGGTCTATCTATCTATTTCACCTATCTATATATCTCATCTGCCTTTCTATCTATTTATGGTCAATATTTATCTCATCTATCTATCTGTATCTATCTATTTCATCAATCTGTCTATCTCATCTGTCTGCCTGTCTATTTATGGTCTATATATTTATCTCATCTATCTATCCATCCATCTGTGGTCTATCTATCTATTTCATCTATCTATCTCGTCTGTCTTTCTATCTATTTATGGTCAATGTATTTATCTCTTCTATCTATCTATCTATCTATCTATCTATCTATCTATCTATCTATCTATCTGTAGTCTATCTATTTATGGTCTATATATTTATCTCTATCTATCTATTTATCATCTGTAGTCTATCTATCTATCTATCACACCTGTCTATTTATGGCCTATATATCCTATCTATCTATCTATCTGTCTGTCTGTCTGTCTGTCTGTCTGTCTATCTATCTGTCTATGGTCTATATATTTATCTCATCTATCTATCTGTAGTCTATCTATCTATATATCTCCTCTGTCTGTCTGTCTATTTATGGTCTATATATTTATCTCATCTATTTATCTATCTGTAGTCTATTTATCTATTATCTATTTCATCTGTCGATCTATCTATCCCCTCTGTCTCTCTCTCTCTCCGTCTATCTCTATCTGTGGTCTATTTATCTATCTCATCTATCTATCTATCTCGACTATCTATCTATCGCACGTCTATCTATCATTTCCCCAAAAGATTCTCCCGCGTTTCCAGGAGCCAACAGGTTCAAGAAGTTGTCACTGGATGGAGTGCTTTCACTTCCACGTTTATTCCAAGATCGAGAAGCTGTGCCTAGCCATTTGTTTCGATCCTAAATGAAGACAGCCGTAGCTTCTACCGGTTTCTGATCAAGAGGTCACCCACACTGCAGAGTTAATGTCCTTTGGTCCCTCCTTTAGCTGCCACGGAATCAAGGGGCTTGTCGTTTTCACAACATCTTTCGCCTCCTCTGCCCACCAAGGTTGGCGCCTTGCCTCATCACAACTCCCATGATTCTATCGTACCCAACCCTGGCAGCTAAAGCAGTGTCGAACTGCATTAATTCTACAGCGTGGATGCACCCAAAGAAAATATCCTCGTTTCCCCGGTTTGTCTCTAGCTCTGCTCCAGTTCTGGCTCGGCTCGTGCCTGTCACTCCTTAGCATATTGCAGATCCCCAGACAGGTAGGCTTCACACCTTCGCCAGCTTGGCTTCCTCTGCGAGAGGTAAACAGGCATAAATCACACCCTTCACCTTGCGCTGCATATGTTGTTCTATTAGATCCCGCAGATAATTCTTGTCTGAACCCCTCCGTGTTTTCCCGAGAGCCAAGCACAGACTTCTATCAACACAGGGAGCCTAGCAGTTCAGCCCGGAAAACTCACAGCAACCCAATTCTATCGTTTAAAGCGTACTGACCACTTTCTGAGCTTCTCTTTCAGAGGCAAGAAAATACAAGGTCCCTTCTCTCACAGGCTTCATCCTCAACCAATTGCTTCCAATCGAGCCGAATTTAAAAGGGGGGAAATGGGGGAGAGCCTCCTTCTTTGCTCCCTCCAGCTTCCCTGGAGGAATGCCTTGCTCTGGCATTTGACAAAGCCCCCTCCCCTTTAAAAAGCCCCTTTAATAAAGCGACTTTTCTTGGGACGACTTGAGAGACACAGCGAGAAAGGATAATAATAATAATAATAATAATAATAATAATAATAATAATAATTTGTCGTGTCAGGAGCGACTTGAGAAACTGCAAGTCGCTTCTGGTGTTAGAAAATTGGCCGTCTGCAAGGACGTTGCCCAGTGGAAGCCCAGATGTTTTGATGTTTTCACCATCCTTGTTGGAGGCTTCTCTCATGTCCATACATGGGAAGCTGGAGCTGACAGAGGGAGCTCATCCACGCTCTCCTCGGATTCATAATAATAATAATAAATAATGAATAATGAATAATAATGAATAATTATTAATTAATAAATAATGCAATCAATGATTAATTAATTATTATTAATTATTAATAATAATTAATAATAATCTCCCTGCGTTTGTATTTTAATCATAAACGGATTCTATTTCGAGTGTCACTTATATCTTAAGCTATACTTCCCTTCAGTTTGGGAGGCAAAATTCGCCAATAATGAATTCAAGGGGAGGCCAATCTGTCCCTGGGACTTGGAGGGCATCTGCACTGCAATTCGATATCGCTTTAATTTGCCTCTGCTTAGGTTTAGGGAATCCTAACCTGGAGCCATGGTGAAAGACCTGATGAAACTACAACTCCCAAGATTTCACAGCAAAGTTCTGGTGTCCAACTGCACAGTGTAGACCAGGCATGGGCAAACTTTGGCCCTCCAGGTGTTTTTGGACTGTAACTCCCACAATTCCTAACAGGGTGTTAGGAATTGTGGGAGTTGCAGTCCAAAACACCTGGAAGGCCGAAGTTTGCCCATGCCTGGTGTAGACAGCCGGAGAGTCGCGTTTCCTCTCGAAACAGGAAGAAATTGCAGGTTTCTGCCATCCTTTTGAAAACGTTAACTATTGAATCAGTCGCTTGGAGCTGAAAGAGAGCACCGAGGAAAGGAGGAAAAAAATGGCTCCTTCGGGCAATTGCTCCTAAAGGAAACTCTGTACTGATAAGAGATGGCTGGTGACAAGCTTTGGAGACAACAAACCCTTGGCCTTTCATGCTTGCCAAGAGCCAATGCCCTCCTCCTCCTCCTCCTCCTCTCGGGCTGGTTTTTGAAAAATCATAACAACTGAGCCAGACTTGGCTTTCGAGGTTGAAGAGAGTGTTCGAGCTTGGGGGGGGGGGGGGGTTAATTACAGCTCTCAAGGAGGTCATCAAATAATTAATGGGCTCGGCATGGCACAGCCAAAGAGGTTGGGGGGAGAGGGGGATCCAATGACGGATGAAATCTCTTCCATTGCCACCTATAGAGAGAGGCGACCCTAACGTTGTGCAGAACTACAGTGTCATTTTTCCTGGAGGGAAGGGGCAAAGGGTTTGTCACACTCCCTCTTCTCCTACCCGCTGAGCAATATTCCCTCCCAAGAGTAGTCCCAGTTACTCCCCCCCTCTAGAAATATATTCCCCCAATTTCTTCACCTCTGTTAAATTTATCGCAGCTTTAAGTGGAGAGATTTCATTGCCTCCTCCTCACTTGGTTCGTGGCTGAGTTGAAACCTTTCGAATCGAGCTAGAAACAGATATATACATTGGTTGCTGTGAGATTCGGTCCATGAAAGCCTACATACATACATACATACATACATACATACATACATACAAACATACATACATAGAGAGATCGGTAGGTAGATAGATAGATAGATAGATGCATAGATAAATAGATACATAAGTAGGTAGGTATATACAAAGATAGGTAGGTAGATACAGAGATAAAT